AGCCGCATTGGGGAGCCTGTTTAAAATCAGTCAGAAAACCCCAACTGATTTCAGTATATGCAGGCACGCTCAGTGACATGCAGTGTGTATGAGCAATGTCTGAGGAATTCATTACATTTTTCCCACTATGAGAGGAAGAGGATGTATTGGGCAATAGTGGCATTTCTAGGAAATAGGAGTTTAGTCAGAGTGCAACATTTCAGATAAAAGAATGGAAAGGAATGCAGGGTTGGAGCAGCCTAGTAGTAAATTACCTTTGCATGTTTCCTTCCATCTTTTTCTGTTTGTGATCTGTGCGTAGCACCAGGCATTGTCCTTAGCCTCATGAAGAAGCACATGGCGTCATCTCAAGCTTTTGTCAATGCTGTGGTGTGGCTTTATAGGCAGGAAGCCCAGTAAGAACAGCGCAGTCGGCACCTTCCCTGAGAGACTACCCAAACCCTCCTGGGTTGTGCTCAGCTGCCAGCTGGGGAGTAAGTCTTTATTTGACTCTTGCAGTTGTCAGTCAGAAGAACAGCTGCCAAACAAAATGGGATTATCTTTGGGGAATATGGATTTAACTAGCCTATGTGCAAAGAGAGAGAGAGTTTGAAGTTGCTAAATCATACAGTAGTGAAAACCTTTAAGTATCTAGAGTTGCATAACACCTTTCATAACATAATACTTGGACCGGAAAAAAGAATCTAAAATAAAAGTAATAAACTAAACTATTGTGACTTTTGTTTTGTGCCAATGGATTTATGGCATCATAGCGTTCAACATAACATCTGTGTGTGCTGCCATTTGCCCTTTTAGTATTTTTCCAGCACCCCATAGGAAGAGGCACTTTGCAATTACTGGAAATGACAAATGGCATCCTTTATTTTTGGAAAGGATGTAAAACTGGAGACGTCCAGCCCATTGCCTAAAATGCATTCAGTCAACTGAGAATTTGCCTTGTTCATGCAAACACAGAGGGGCTCTAGGTCTTCTCAAATGTAAAGCAAGAACAGACAGTGCATATCCTGTTTCAATGGTAGAGCTTCACACCATTTCCTTTCACTGTGTCTACATACTAGCATTAGGAGAGTATGGTAGGAAGCAGCATAAGAAATTACCTCCCACTTAAAAAGCAATCAGTTGTTTGCAGGTAGCACAAGGAAATATTGTCCCCTAGTGTGTTACTCTCCCTAAGATTACTTTACGAGGACGTAAAACCTCTGTCTACAGTACATGTGCTCACCAATAGGCTGTTACCCGTATTCATCTTTTTTTGTACGATAAAATGAGATAAGAGAACTATCCTGCTCCTCAGTGTAAGCTTTTGTCTTCTTCCAATTTAACACTTGATATTAACTTTGAGGAAGAGAATTTATTTTGCTAAAATGTGTCAGGTTACAGTGGTTTGAAATATTAAAAATCTGAGGTTTCTGACAGGAAATGTAAGGCCACAAAAAGTTCACATCCTTAAAAATAAATGGCCTGAAAGTTGAAGCCCAAAATCAGACAGAGTGGGTACTTTATGTATGACAAAACACCTCATCTAATATGAACTGATAAAATATTGAAATCTGGGAACCTTTCTCAATGCCTTACGTCGTGTCTCTTAGCTGGTATCTTGTAATCATCTTTAATGGAATCTTAGCTCCCTGTTTTATTGTACTGATGCTTGTTTATGTTGCTGTCAACTGTTTTGAATTGGTGAATGGTCAGTTCACAAGAGTGGGTACTGTATTTCTTGAAAATTCCAGTGTGGGGATTTTACACCAAAAAATCTGGTAGACAAGAGTATGAATGAAAAAGCTACACTTTTATTAAAGTGGGTCTGGTTTTGTAGCTGGAAGATAAATATTCATTCACTGCCTAGGAGAGAGCATTCTGTTCAGGTGAGCCAAATTCATCATGCCATTCAAACCATCTTGTAGCTCAACCTGTGATTATCATCATATTTTTTTCATATACAAACTTTCTCAGCAAAGATGTAGTTTTCGTGAGTTTTCACGACAGTGACAACTAAGAAAATTCAGCAGGACGAATGCAGATTCATAAGTGAGCTTATTAGAAGTGCCTCTTTCAATGGCAGGTTTTTCATTTGCCTTTTTCATATCTGTCAATGAGCCATCTTTTAATGAGTTAATTTTTCATACTGATAATGTGCCAGTTGGGTCAGATGCAGGTCTTAACTAATAGGGCAGTTTGGAGTAATTAAGTGTGTGAGCTCTGTTACCTTTGTCAGGCAGACCTGTGAGCATGGCAGAATTTATATTAAATCTTCTTGACAAGGTCTTTCTTCCACAGAAATATGTTGCCTCCTATTGATTATTTCCATTGCTTCTTTACAATTGCTTTTAATAATTCTGTTTTTATAATCTTGCCCTAGAGCAGTGTCAACCTGCAGTGAGTATAATAGCCTTGTTTACCCCTTTGCAAGTAGTAACAGAATCTAATCATTTTCTTACCTACTCTGCAGATCTTACTCATACACCAAGAATGTCATATATGTGTATGGCATAACAGCATGAGACTGGATGATTTCATTGTGATTTCTAGGCATCCTTCTGACCCTAAAATTATTATGCAGAAAAGACGTATGTCCAGTAGAAAAGCTTTTGTAATCAGGCAGTGAAAGTAAGTTTTACCAACAGCCAAAGCCACTGATGATCAGTGTTTATTTTTTAAGCCACTTTGCTTATTTGACCTCCTGCATACGGCAGTATAAATAGGAAATTGAGGAGTATACATGCATTATTGTTCCAAGGAGTGCTTTCTCTGTGAGTTCAGCTATTCTGCATAAATTCAATGTTCTGCAATGCATGAAGACCAGATAGGAATGTTCAAATATTTGGAGAAAGTACTGTATAGTATGTTTATAATGAAACATATTTTTTTCCTGTCCCATTTTTCTGCCATGATGGATGGCTTCCCCCTTCCTAAATATTCTGTGTGGTTTTATGTGTACAATAAATTTTCCTGGAACAGTAACCATATGCTGAAATGGAAATTGCAATAAATGTTCCGACAGTGTTTTGAGAAACATGAGTTCCCCTTAAGGAGGGAACCTACACCTGCAAAAATACCCACTTAACCAGAAAGCACCCTGCATCAATCTTCAGTGTCAGCTCTTTCCTCAGCTTGATGGGAGTTCTCAGCCTTGAGAATTCAGAGCATTTTGCATCCTGGGCTTGGTCCTTCCTGGAATGGGTGTAGAACCAAAATCATTTAGACTTTCCAGAAAGCAATAATATTACAAAAACTGGTGCCAGGTGAGCTATATATGAATTGTACTGTAGTTTTCATTTATAGATATTTTCAGGTAATCTATACTGAGGAGAAGTGCTTGGGGCAACAATGAATCAAGGGTGCTTGTAGGGAGTGATCTACATGCCTAAACATAGGCATATAGTGCTATTTGGGACTGTAAGGTAACCAAGATATCTAATGAAGGTAGGAGATACGATACGGTACCTATAGAAGACCCAAGCCATCCGAAGCTGCAACTGAGTCCACATAGGATCCTGTAACCTGTAGTGCTGCTTTCTTAAGTGTTAGGAGTTCTGTTCTTCTCAAACTACATTAAAATGGGTTGACCTAGGAAGAAACCATATTCTCTAGGAAACAAGAAACAATAGTGTGTGATCTCAGACAAAACAAAAATGTGGACTGTGGTTATGTCTAAGAGCAGTTAAATGACATGAGTATTGGCCTGAAAAACATTTTACTGGCAAATGACTGGGAGAGATGAATATACTAGCAAGTAGCTAGCAGAAAGAAATCTCAGCTGAAATTCAATATTAGCAAAAAGCAAGGGGAGAATAGATTGTATTTTAAACTATAACACAGTCAGCTATATTAAACTCTGTATCACTTTAAAAGTACTGTTACATTCACTGAGAGCTCAATACTGCTTGTGCCACTATACAAATTTGCTCTCAGTCCTCTTATTTATAGTGACCTGCTGGACTTCCTACTTATTTTTACCACCCTATTAATGTGGATGATTCATTTCCATTCTATCTTTTCTGAATTGTGGCCATCCACATTTCATTGCATAAATCCTTTATAGAGAAAAAGTGTTTCTTTTCTCATAGTATCAAAGACTATCACTGAGAAAGGTGCCAGAATGCTTCTAGACTGGGGAAGTCCTGAGTGTGATATGTCTGTATTCTGGTTTTATTAATCTTTCACACACTGAAAAAGGAAATTAAGTTAATGGAAAATATGTGATATGACAGTAGTTGTTGCTATAATAATCTAATATCATGCATACAAAGAATGTTGCTGAGGAAATTATTACATACTACTTTTGAAAGACTGTCAGTGTAATACCTTTTTTCCCAAAGCAAAAACCAATGATGCAGTATTGCTCTTTCAAAAGAAAAAGAAAAAAAAAAAAAGATGGCCATTTTTTTTTTTGCAGTAGTTATTTGAAACTTTAACTTGGTTATGAATTCATTTTAGTACAAATTTAACAGGAAGAATAAACCCACCTCATCTCTGAAAACCTAGCATTCTGTTTAAATTCTGACTTCACAGCCAAGAAATGCTTAGTCCTTTTAGTAGTTGTTTATATGATTTTTTAACCTGTTGTTTATGCAATATGTATAATTAAATCACAAGGGCAGTTGTGAATAACCGCCACATATAAGTGAATTAGAAAAGGGCCTTGGTAAAGGACTTCAGTCTAGCGCCTATTCCCACTTATATTATTTGGATATTTCAGTAAGTTTAATGACTAATTTGAATCTTATCCTGATTCACACTCGGGGATGTAAATTTTCTTTTCTTTCCTGATTCTTCAAACTGAGAGGCAGTCAAATATATGTGAATATCCTTACTTAAAATGCAGGGCAGTCTAAAATCCGCCTCTGTGTATGAGCCTGCAGGACCTGACATATACAAAAATCACACAAATGAATAAAATATCTTTACTTGGGCATACTCCATGTTTCTTCTTGTTTATTCAAACAGCTTTTTCTCATTAAAAGTGAACATTTAGTCATTTTTGATTAATTTTCCTGTAGGAGGTCTCCGACATCTACTTGCTGTAAAGAAGACCAGATGAAAGATGTCCTAGAATTAGGTAAGTTATGCCAAGCTTCAGTTTGGCTTTTACCATCTTATTCCTCAGAACAGCTGTAGCCAAATACATATGAGTCGCTTCTTTTGTAACTTTTAGTTGATTAAGAGAAACACATGAAAGTGTTAATTCTCATATTCGTGACCCCCTGGCACTGAGCTTGCTGATGGAAGTGATTTTTCTCATCCAACACATTATATGATTTTTTTTTTCTTTCAGTTGATGTTGAGGCTGAAGAAACAACTGGAGAAGTTATTAAAAACCCGGATCTTTCAACACTGTATATGCTCCAAGTAGTATCAAAGGCAATTGATATTTCTCTTGCAAAAGTAAGACTAACAATGATTGTAAATACAAATAGATGTGTGAGAATGTTATTTCAGCCGAGTTAGTCAAACCTGCAACAGATTACTCTGTGCTGCATGTTCGTGTGTGATTTAACATGTGCTGTATTCATTCCTGACTATACTCCTTATTTGGCATTCAGGACTAAAAATAATGTAGGGGTGACATTTAAAATTCAGAAAAATAGCAGAAGAGCATGCCAGAATGCATCAGCCCACTTGAAGTACAGATAATAGCTTTAATTAAAGAAGCTTGCATTGTCTTATTAGTGCCTGTAATCAGATATTTATGTGCTTATCATCCAGTCCTTTTAATTGACAGTGGTTCAGAAGAAGTTTGTTATTCCCCTATCACTGTTTCTCCCTTGCTTATCTTCCTTATTTTGAGCAGAGATTATTACTTTTAATATTAATATTACCATTATTACTTTTAATATTTTCCTTCCAGTTCAGACAGAGGAGAGAAAAAAACCCTCAGATTAAAAATAAGGAGGGTGCCTTCCAATTTCTTTGCTAGATCAAAGAAGCCCGAGTAACTGTACAAACACTGAATAGCCTGTGCTTATGTACTCTGCTTTACTTTAGCATTAATGCAATTTATTCCGTTTAGCTATTCCTCAGTAGTAGTGGTCTGCAGGTTTTCAGGCCAAGATCTTGATTTGGCATATGCTGATGTGCCATCCGACTACAGCAGTCAAACTTTTGAGTAACATTTATCTTATACCAACAACTTTAACAGGCAAAACAGGATGCCTTTTCTCCATGTTGTGTCCAGTAGGGTCCTTTTTTTTCCCTAAGGTAACCATTAGGAGGGGTGGCTTTACTAGCTGTTAAATTTAAGGGAATATTCTGTAATGCTTCCATGTGAAACTGTACCCCAGACAATCTGCATAAAGAATTTCCTATGCTGAGCAGCACACAGCATTATGAGTTGAAGGAATATTGCAGGAAAAGGAAAAAATTGCTCCTTTTCATTTGAGTGTTACTATTTACGGTATGTATGAAACAGAAAAGGGTGGTTATAGTGAGTTAGTCATTAACCTTCCACACCCCTCCTTTCCTTTCTACAAATTTCTGTAAGAAAACATACCTGTGATTTGGATTTTATTAAAAATAAGAACTTTTTTCTTGTTTCTTTCTTTTTTTTTTTTTTTTAGGAGTTAAAAAATCTTTTGTTTGGCTCTAGTCTTTGTTGCTTCAGTGAAGAATGGAAAATACAGAATTTTACATTTAATAACATACCACAGTTAAAATATGGCATTGTGCAAAAAAAGGTACTGTAAATTACTTCCTTAAAGTGATCTTTGCTTTTTACACTGAGTTTACAAAGGCTGTGTGTTTCAGCAGTTTAAAAAAAAAAATAAAAAATAAAGGTCTTCTAAAGACTCTTCTCTTTCTTTGACTTCTCTGGTTATCACTGGATGATGTCACCTTGTCAAGTCCCGCTGGGAGACTTGAGATGGATGGAATATTTCTGAGGGAATCTTAAATTAACTGCAGAAAGTGTGCATGTGTGTGTGTGTGTGTGTGTGTGAGACAAGGAGTTATTTGTAGGGAGAAAGACAAGCCACTTCAGCTGAAAGCTAGTGGTGGTAAAAGAATAAAAGGGTGTAAATCAAGAGTCGAGTTTAAGAGAAAAAGTGTACATGGGGGTCGTGTTTAACAAGCTTAAGATGGAGCTTGATCTGTCTCAGAATGGGGGACATAGAATTGCCTGCGGTTCCTGGGAAATCACAATGATATTTTTGCTTCTTAAAGATGTAGGGGTCAAATGATGGGGGTCACATGATGGGGGCCACATCATTCCTAACGTGAAAGGGAACAAATGCCCCTGCAGTGTCACTGGGACCAGTACACTGTAACTGCTGGTAGGACCACCTCTTTTGCAGCCATGTTTCTGTAATTCTGGACTGCAGCCACAAGATGCCAGCTCCTCCATAAAATAAGGTTTTCATCAGTTCTAGGCATTATCTACCTAGTGGTAAAAAAACAGCGTTAGAAAGGAACCATGACAGTAATGTTCAGTGGTCCATAGTAAATGTTACTCACTGGCCATTAAGTTCCCTACTATAAATTCCACAAGAAGAATAGTAAATCAGCATGTTTTGCTCAGATGTGTTTATTTCATATAGTTAATATATTCCTCTTCACTTTTAAATTAATTTCAGTTGAACAATTGTTTGATTCTCTTCTGAATTAAGTTACTGTGGTGCTATAAGAAGATGTTTAGAATGGTTCCTCTTTTTTGACTGAGAGGCTTTCCCTAGTGGACTGAAATAATCCTTGCTTTTTTCCTTAATGTATTTCAGATGATTCACTCTTTAGTTATATAAGTAATTATAGAGTTAGCGTGTGTGTAATATAAATGACAAAATGGCAGGTATCAATACCTATTTTGTGATTATAGGACATTTATTTTCTGGGTTGCATACTGTGCATACTGCCTGTATCTGCAGGTCCAATTGCAGGTCTGATGCTCTACTTAGGACAACCTGAGAAATAAAATCAAACCACAGACTCTCCAGAAAACTTGCTGGCTGGTCCATACTTTCTTATCATTGTTGTTTTTTCCCAGTGAGGTAGATGGCTAGTGCAAAGAGCTATACAAAACACCAAAATCTTTGGTTAGTGATTCAAGTGGGAACTTGAGAGGAGGCACAATGCTCAGAGGAGGTAAAAGAGCAAGGCATATTTTCACCATTTGGAAAACAGGTTTGATTTCTCTTGGGGATGTTAATGTAAGCTGTGGCTCAATAGGGATCAGGAGATCTTTCATTTGTTTGCATAATCACAGAAAAGATTTTAAAAAGACTTTTCTTTGATGTTACAGATGTCTAGGCATTTTCAGGAAAAAAATAGGTGGAAAAATCAATACCAGTTAGTAACACTGATTTTCATTGGCTTGCAAAAAAAATGTAATAGAGTAAGAGAGAGCATGACAAAGTCATGGATGAAAAGACAGATGAAAGAATAGCTTAAGCCTGAATGGAAGGACATGGATTGCAAAAGTTTTCACCAGCATCAAAAAGCACAAATTGTTTTGCTCATGGAGTGTCCATTATTCCCCTCAGGGTGGCCCATGTGGAGTACTGGCTGCAGTTCAAGCTTGTGTCCTACAACGGCTTATTTTTGCAGACAGTAATAGGAATAAAGACATTCGGTAAGTCAGCAACTGACAACAGAAATATTTTCCATACATAAGTAGAAATTTATTTTTCTCTGCTGCAGCCATTCAGGAGCCTTTTGAGTTTGAACTTGTTGAACTTCTCTTTGAGAGAGAAAGTAGCATATGATTTTCTTTTATTTACTTCCCTTTCAACTGCAGTAATTTAGAGGTTGATGTTTTATTTGTATAATTACTTGCTTGTGATTAACCCAAGAACCTCTTAAAAAATCCAACAGCTTGAATTGAGGCCAATGAAAATTATTTAACCTTGAGATCTCATGGAGATGTAGTTTCAAAGAAAATCTGTTGAGGGTTTCAAAGACCATGAAATTTATGCAGGTTTTGACACTCAGAATCTCAAGGAGGGTGAAAAATTAAACTTGCAGCTATAATTTTTTTTCTTGCTACTGTGTTCAATCTTTCATAGTTGAACTCCATAATAGAATTTGAATTTAAATTCTGTGTGTATATTTTCTACTTACTTAAAGAAACATCATTAACTATTGCTGGTACCAGGGAAAGTTGCTTGGACTGCTATAACATTAATGTACTTGTCACTTTGCTAAAGGAGCAGGGGTCATTCAATCAAATGCTAGAAAATAATGTCTAAAAAGTTTACTTTTATTACCAGATTTCTTGTATTCACCTTTTGTTCTCAGTAAGAAATTAAGTCCATTATGAAACAAAAAAAATTCTCTAAGCTTTCCTGTGCTTACAGGCACAGTTTGTTGTACAGGCATAACAGTATTTTACTGGTTTATGCGGCCACCACCTTGTATTATTTGTGGAATTATACAAGTCAGAAGAAAAGCTTTCAGGCTGAGATTGTTCTTGAACTTCATTATTTTGCAATGTAAAAATGTTCATCATGTGTAAAAACTCGCCTTAAGTATACACTTTCCTGCTTGGAACTGTTTAAGACAGTGACAGGGTCTTTGTTGATTTTCCTTAGTTTTGTCTGACTGGCACTTAATGTTTATTAATTGTTTGGGCTTTTTCATCAATAATGGAAAGAAACAGGCGCCTGTAGAACTTCATTATTTGCCTTCAACACCCAGGATGGGAAGTGACAATTAACCAAAGGATTATCAGGCACTATAGGATCTACACATGTGTCCAGGTCCAGGAATGCTGGTGCGTAGGCAGTTCTGGTACAAGACAGCTAATAAGCCGTTAGGAATGTTTAAAACCAGGCTTAGAGTCTATTAAATAAATACTGAAAGTTTTAATGTTACTGCTGTTGGCTAGTTATTAGTTTCACTGATGGCTTGTGGACCCCAAGACACAGGCTAAATAAGATGCTATGAATTCATCACTTGAAAATTGCCTGTTCCTTGAAGTCACCTAAAGGCAGTTACCATAGGCTGACAAAGAGATAGGGTTAGTGGTATAATACCTGTGCAGAGAGTAATGTGAAGTTAATTCTACAATGTTAAGCAGTTCAGTTTTTTTCTTCTGTTCAATTCTTTCAGTACATCACATCTGTCCATAATTCATATGAAGAGCCTGCTGATGAGAGCACACTTTTTTAAAGTGAAAAAATTAGCTGGCAAAATTTTATTAGTCTAATACAGATTACGATGGGAGTGGACTTCAAGGCAGATTGAGGCTCATGTCCACATAAAAGAAAAATTCAGAAACTTCCATGCAAGAAAATCAGCACGTTTAGATTTTAATGCTAAGGAATCTCCACAAAATTCACCAAAGAATTATTTCTGGTGTGAAAACCAAGAATTTGTTTCAGAATGGAGAACAGCTTTGATCATCTACTCCTTGGTCCCTTTGAGTCTCAGGTCATCCTTAGTAAAAATAGAGATGTTAACCTTTTCCTCTTTCAACATTATTCAGTGATCGTAAATGTCATAAAATTATGTGGCACCCAGATAAGTTGATTGAGGCCAGATTGTTTAAACTGTAAGTGTCCCAACTCCTGCCAGCTACAACTGATCCTGTTTACATGGCAATATTTGCCTCTCCTATTTTCCCCCTGCTATTATATACACAGTTTTACAAGATTTTGCTTTATTCGTGAGATAAACATTTTTCTTATGATATGTTTGCCATAGGCAAAAACTTAGGCAGGCAGAAAGAGAAGTCTCAGAGCTTGAAATGACAGGATTAATATTCCTTTCTAATTCTTACCTGAATTTTCAAATTATGAACAACTTCACAGTAAGTGTTTGACTTCAGGCTTCTTCAACAGTCAAGAGATAATTATCATGTGTCTGTACTCTGCTGCGTCTCTCAGACACATAAATTAGTTGCTATGCTTCCCATAAATTTCTGAGTGTCTGCATTAGAACACAGGCAGAAATTAGAGAACGTTGTGATTTTATTTTTGTACTTGAAAACTCTCACCAGTTATTTCCCATATCTCACACCCTTCAGAAGGAAACATTCTCTAAATGAACATTATATTCAAGGCAGACATTGAACTTGAAAGTCTGTTTAATTTTTTGATGTTTGGTGTTCCTTGTTTAGTCTTGCAGATTATTAGATCTTTTAGTCAAATGCTGGGAACAGGTTTTGACATAATCTCCCATGCTGGTAGCACTCTAAGACTGATATTATCTGAATTTCAAAGACTGCCATTCTTGAAGCCCCTAGAGAACATTCCAGTTCTGTGTCTTCCAGGGGCATAGATCTGTTGTTCATTTCTTCAGGCTCATGGATGTTGGGTTTTATTCTTAAATCTTCCAGTTTTCCATTATGTGACTTGTTTATGTGACTGTTCAACACATAGGGTTTTTTTTTGAGTGGGCCATCCCAGTTGTCTCTTTCTTGACTATAGAAGGAACTGAGATACCTAAGCTGTTGTTTTCTGGGGGTACTTGCTGGAACCTCATGATTAGGCATTACAACACCTAGTCTCTGAAATAATGCTTCATAGTATACTATGAATCTGTGTATACTGTAATTGGGGTAGTTTGCCCTCTAATGAGTAAGCTTTCCAACACACATTTTGGTACTTGACTGTCTCTTGTATTTTCTGGACTATAGTTGTCTTCAACCATCAGAAGTTCACAGGACCAAATGCCTTACCATGGCAATTGCAGACATATTGTGGCGTGCAGGAGGCAATGAAAAAGCAATTGTAGCACTGTAAGTAGGGAAAGCAGTTTTAATTATTGAATAATGCTCCTATACTTGTGTCTGTTATATATGTACACAGTTTATAAAATGAAAGTTTTGCAAGGTGTATTTATGCAGTCTAAAATGGTTAGGGAGAAATGCAAAATGTCATTTCTGCTGTCCCAGTAACTGGAACAGAATAGTCAAATTCTTTATAATTGCTGTGAAAGATCCTGTGGATTTCATTGATGCTTAGGATTCCTCCTCATCTTTACCTGATTTTTCCAGATGCAGCATTTTGCTCCCAACAGTTTTGTATTGCAGGATATTCTATTATGGGTGGAATTAATTTCATTATGCTGTAGATGCCTACTAGTAACTTAGTTTATGCTATGCAATTCCGTTCCTTGTACACAAGACATCTAACTTCTAGATTGCTGGCTTCGGCTGTACTGGATCCTGCACAGTATTTTTAAGTGAGACAGGTTTTGTGAAACGAGGTGATTTCTTCTATTAAATCAACTAAGATAGCCGTAAAATAACAGAGAGGCTTTTAAGCCCAGAATTTCTTCTTCAAACCTTAAATAGAAGCATCAAGTTCAAAGACATTTCAAATGATATTTTGTATATTTCACATTTATAAAATATTTCCTCTGTGATGATATTGTACATACGTTCTTGTGCTTGTTTTAATGTCACTGCTGTAATATTTGTTTCCAATAAAAACTCATTAAGATCTTAAATGTATATTTCTAGTCTTTCTGTATAAACATATTAAACAGACTGAGAGAGCTCAGCACTGCTAAAGAATATGCTTAATTGATAAACGTTTGTTTAATATATAATATGAACTTATGTAAGAGGTTCTTTTTTAAAAAAGTGGTTAAAAATGATAATACAAAATCTTTGGCTCATTTTTCAGTTCATATAATAATATGTTGATTTCTCTTTAATACCATTTTGTTCCTTTTAATATGAACTTTGGTTTTGTCTGAATATCCTCTTCAGGCCATCAGGAAGACAGCAGTTCATTCCCATAGGAAAATACAAGGCAGATGGAATCTTAGAAACTGTAAGGCTCTGTGTTATTCATTCTCCATATCCTCTTTCTACATTCTGTTATTTTAGTGCAATGAATCTGATTTCCATTGCTCTTTTAGTGTTTTAAAATCTTTTATGTCAAATTAGTTGAGATCCAAAACCCAATAGGGGATAGCAAAATCCTGTAGTCTGTCTGGCTCTGAATTGTCCCAGTGTCTGTGGGCAGTTTGGACTCCCTGGAGTCCTTTTTGTACCCTATATCTTTCAAGCTTATAAACTTGCCTGCTTTTATTGATATGCAGTAAAAGTGAACGTGGATCAAGTTCACCACCATGACCATGAGCATCAAAAGGCAGTATATTCTCCTTTGCTTTTTTTTTTTTTTTTTTTTTTTAATTCCAGAAGCTCCAAATGGCAAAACGCTCTCCAGTTATGCCTTGTTTCCATCTGAAGCTCTCAAATGGCGTTGCAAACGGTGATGCCAAAAGCCAGGCTTTAGTGGTTTAAGAAAATATTACTGGCCTCCTAAATGTAGGAATGAATGTGTCAACAGATTGTCAGAACCGGGCAGTTTTGGAACAGTTGGAAGTGAAGTCTTTTATAAGTAGGGTGAATGCAGCAGAAATCCTTGGCTATAAAATGCTCTTCCAAGAGGCAAGATAAATTATTTAATTAATATGTTAACATAATTCCATGCTGCTGGCTATTTTGGAGAGCAACTAACACCATTATGCTGTCTCTAAGTCCTTCTTATCAAAGGCCATGTGGACATAGCCACAGTGAAAATGTGATGGAAAGCAATATAATCCAGATTGCTCAATCTTTCTGCATACTGTATCTGCAAGACCATAATTTCTGTCCAAATCTGAAGATGGAAAAAATAGATAAAGAATGTTGAAGTAAGGGCCTAGATCTATGAACTGTCCTGAACTTCATGTTAAATAGGAGTATTCATGGGAGTATTCTCTGAGTATGATGTGTTCTGATACATGCCTGCTTTAAACGGCTCATCACATAGGTACCAACTCCTGAGCTACTTGCCCATTCTGTCTTCTAAAGCTGCATGTTCTAGGAATCGTTTTTCATTGCATAAACAATGCTTAAAGTTGAATCAAACTGCCTGTTTAAAAAACTTAAAAACAACAAGAAGCAGTGTAAAAATTCAGAACATACGAAGTGCTGAGATACAGTATTATACAAGATAACACCGGGAAAAGGTAGATTTTGTTAGATCTTTACTCCATTTTGTTAGCTCAAATCTTTCCATTCAGATTTAAAGCTTTGTCTACTGTAGTTCAGCTTTCAGGTTATAAAAGTGAGTTGTAATTGTTTCAGTTACTTTTTTTTTTTTTTTCTTTCCCAGCTAATACTACATAGTGCCACAAGATATGAAGATCTGGTTGTTTTTCTTCAGCAGAATATTCACCAGGTACTGTGTATAGAGAAGACACTAAACCTGTTATAGTTAAACTGCCAGTCTTTCTGTATTTGTCAGTCTCATATCTCCTGAACATTGTTTCAAACACTACATGGACATGCATTTTAACAAGCAGAAGAGCAAATTCAGTTTTAGATAAATGAGAACAATTCTTTCTGCTTTCAGTTTGATTTGCATTTCTTTAGAATATGGCAAAAAATGTACAAAACAAACAAAATAAAACTCATCTTTTTCTTTTTCAGTTTGAAACTGGTCCCTGTGGGTGCATCCTTCTGACTGTGTCTGTCATCTTATCAAGATCTATCAATCTGTGAGTGTCTTTGTATCCCTGTTTTATTAATTGCAAAGTAAATACTGCAAACTGAGAAAGCAGCCATAATGTACTTAACTGTCTGGCCTTTTTGATCTATCATGATGTTTACTCTGATAAATATAGGGGAGTAATGCAGATTTATTTTGTTTTTTACACAAGACATTTATATATATATATATATATAAATGCTGTTAAAATGGCAGTGATCACTCCACCGTACCTGATACGAAGGACTTAATCTAACATTATGCATCATGTCTGAGGTAGTTGCCTATACTCCCAGTCTTGACAGTTGAAAACAAGACTGTTTTAGAGGGTTATTTATTTAGGTATCTGTCTTAGGTAGAGATGAGTAACTTGCTTGTAATGCCCAATCTCTCCATCAATGATGATGATAAAGAAAGGATTGGACAGCTAATTTTTAGGTGGTTATAAGTAATGTATGACAGTTTATGAGTGCAATAAATATGGAGAGCTCTAAGGAGTAGTCAGTATAGGCTCTTTTAAAAACTCATTGAGGTTTCCCAAAGCGCAGTTGCTGTTCATTGCTTTCATACAGATTAAATGTATTTCAGTGGTACTGTGAATAGCAGAGTGGGTCAGAATAAAAATGCTTTCTTCATTTTGTCAAATTTCACTTTTGTAAAAATCTCCTAGAGTTATCTGCAAGTGAAAAGAGCTGTTTCCTGACAACTTGCAGTAACAACTGACGTGAAGAGAGTCATGCACTTGAAAGCAGCATGGGGTTTGTTTATGTAATCTTTTATTTCTTTGCATCTCTGCATTGTCTTGAAAATAAATAGCAACTTAGTCCAAATTTGTGATATGCATTATGTTGCTCACCTACTGAGATTCCTACAAGCATTTGCAGGTTGGATTTTTTTGCTGTTTTGTTGTCATGTCTTCCTTTCGCTTACAGTAACACTACAGGCGATAGGCATGACTCCACTTTTGCACTCTTAACACAAATTATATGATAATTTTATAGCATATGTCATTTATTCTTGTTTTTATGATCTAGTTAGCAGCAGAAAGGTCCAGATAAGTAAAGGTATTTGAGCAAGAATGGTATATTTGGTAGGATCACCAAAAGCAGCAATGTTCCTAGTTGCTCTTGATTGCATTGCTTTACTTTCTGTAAAATGGTAAACATGCTATAATAATATAAGCACAGAGGTTATATTTTTCATCACCTTTCAATTCTGGACAGATGGATTATGACAAGCTAATCAATCATCTTTGTTTGTCTTTGGGAGGACCTAAGTGACTAAAAGGAACATGAAAATTCCTTGTGGTGCCTCCTTGCATTTTTAGGTATCTAAATATTTTTACAGTTCTGGTCCACAGTGTTAAAATTGTTTATAAAATGTAGCTCTGTTTTGAGGAAGATTCATGACTTTATCACACAAGTTCATTTTAACTTGGTACTGTGTAATACATTGCATTGATACCTATGTTTTGTTTATAAGAAAAAGGATTTTTTATCTGTCACTAGATACAGTGGAGTGTGTTTCCAGACCTCTGCATAATATTTTTTAGAAGTGCAAACTAAATTTTGTTTATGTAATTTTCAGCAATAGATTTGAATGGCTATGTCATAATGCTTCTCTTAGGATATTACAAATATCAAGACAAATAACTCATTGCTCATATCATCAAGAAATATGTACCATTTAGTGAGTGTTAGAAGCATTGTAAGTAATTATTTACATAACTGGCATAGTACTGGATGAATAGTTAGAGACAAATAAGAGTTGGTTTAGGTAATGGAAATTTATCCAGTAATACATCTCCCTGGAATTATTCTTTTTTTGGTCATGTTTTTTTTTAAGATAAAATTAGTGTTTTGTTTTATTTATAAAAAGAAAATTTAATGGCGGTTTCAATTGTCCTGATTTTTGTGTGCATATTCTGTTGAGCATGCTAGATTAATTAATTTTAGTTGAGAAGTTGACGTATCTTAATTTCTCAAATAATGTTGAAATGCTTCTGTTTTGGTCAGTGCTTCGTTATGTGCCCACAGTGTTGCCTCACTGGGGTCCCTTTGTAAATAACTCTTCCATAAATAATTGGCATTTCTTGTCAGCAAGTTGGAATACTAAGGATGGGAGTGTCTTGAACCGTGGTTATAATTACAACAACATTGTGTAAGATGCAGAAGTTAGTCCACTGAAGCCAAACCAAAGCATTTACATTTGGTTCAACAAAGACTGGCATTTTGATTAACGAATTTTGAAATACTTCTTTCAATCAAAAATATTCTCCGTAATGTTTTCTGTTCCATGAATAATTCCAGTGTTTATTGAAGCTTTCACTTCAGGATATAATAAGAAGAAAATAATAATTCCTTATTTTATATGGTGGGGAAGCATTAATACAAATTAAAAAGCAGAGCAGTGGATGTGGACTAAGTGGTGAAGTTGATTAATAGAAGGATACGTGTCACTGTATGGAGCCCTGTGCAGTTCAACTTATCCAGAAGTGAACTAGAAGGAGTGCAGGATAATGAGACCACAAAGCTTACAGACTTCCTCCGAGAAGTCACATCTGTGTGCATATGCTTCCCATGTTTATAACAGATGGAAGATGGCATGCAGTTGTGACCATGCCACGTAACTTGGGAGTGCTAGCTGTGGTAGTTGGTGTGGTTCAGAATACTGCAGACCTGTTAGCACCTTCTTAAATCTGTGACTGAGTTCTAGCAGTTCAGAAGGATCTCGTTGTGCTAATAATGGAGTAATCTCATCTAAGTTTAGCCTTCTATAAATTATGCCAAGTCCAGTCCTCTGCTCTCTCTGTGTTCAGTGAAAGGAGAGAAGCTTCTCTAAAAGAGAGTCATTTCACATGAAAATTAATGTCAAGAAAGGGGAGGAGAATTGCTATGGACAGTGCCTATTTTTTTTTTTTTTTTTTTTGTAATTATTACCGTAAAGAGAGCTACTAGCTAAGACTTACTTCTTAAATGTTTGCTATTTTCAGGGTAATGATCTATCTATTTTTATTTATTTTCTGTGGAAATATTTGCATCTAGGCTTCCTTTATGCTCAAAAAAAGAGGAAAAGATTATGATTTATTTGACTTACTTTGAATGTTTAGCTTAGAATGAGAGAAATTGTCTCCTGAAATGCTTACTTATCTCCCCTATATAAAAAGGAAATCTGAATAACTTACTTTTATGGAGGCTTTGCACAGTAAACATCAAGTGGTGAAATTAATTCTGCCTTAGAGTGACTGGCTGATAAAATGTTAATAAAATTGTTAATAATGTAGATTATTATACATGATGAAAACACAGTCTCAAGCTGTACTTACCTAGTGATGGGCTTTAAATAGACTATTATAAAAAAGGAGAGAGATTCCGGCACTATTCCTGCTGCTTTAATTATCTGAAGATATCAGTTCAATTTTCTATGATAGACAAAAAAGAAAAAAAGTATTGGGCATTACGGTGATAAGAAATGAGGACTAAATAAAAACATGGTAAAGTGTTTGCATTAACATATGGTCTTCTCATGTCTTTATCTAGCATCTAGCCTTATTTCCCCAGGTCAGTAAAAACACATTAGAACTAGAAGACACTGGAAGACAAAATTTCCCTTTAATGTGGACTAGCTTCTATGTGGACAGTTGGAATCTTTCCTTTTTGGCATTAAAGAGGGCTAACTAAGGTGTGATAAATATTTAGGCATCCGTGAAAATGTTGAATAAGGAATGATTATATATTATTTCTCAGGGTCCAAAACCTTGGGTATTGTCATGGAAATGCTCAGGCTTTGATTTTAAAACAACCACTTTTTTTTTTTTTTTATCACAGCATAAGTAACTTTCACTACTGGCAGATGAGGAAGCCAAAAGTATGAAGAGGTTCAAATGAATTTAGGCAAATTACTGGAATGTACATGCTTAAGTACTTTTAAATGCTCCTGTCTAGATGTCATCTCCATGTGCCCTGTTTTTGCTACTGCTGCTGCTGACTGGATGCTGGGATAGGGTGACTTTTGGTCTGGCTCCATAATTTTTACATTGTTACTGATTATTCTTGTAAATGGAAATTCCATATTTCATCCAGGTCTATCAGGCAGTTGTTCTAAATCACTGACAACCTACGTACTTTTATTTAATGAGAACGCATGCCAGGAAATGCAGGGGTTTGCTCTGCTTTGTAGATTTTGGTAATGAGTTTATCATGCTCCATGCACTAATGATCATTACTGGCAGAGCTTATAACAAATGGCCAAAGAGGAGTGAGAATTCCTGAGGAAGTTGCTGAGAACGTGGTGTTGTTTCTGGTACAGGAAGGAGCGCTAGTCACTAACAATTGTAACCTCTTTTTTTTTTTTCTCCTTACAACCAGTGAAAAATTAAAAAATAGTGGGCATATTGTACTAGCTCAGGGAACTAACCTTCCTGAATGTGCAAAATGTGTACCAAAATGCTCATGTTAAGAGCTATAAGATATTTTCTGCATACCTGGAAGAGACTGAGCTTAAGGGTGGACTTCAAGCCCCCATGGGGGCCTCGCTGAGATTGGTACATTGCATGTAGGAAAGTTATGAATACTCAGGAGTGGTTTACGCTGACCTGTTAATGGCAGCTTCAGTAAACCCACAGTCTTACTGAAGTTGCAACATGATCACCTCTAACACTTGGCACCTTCCTTACTACGCGTAGTTATGCAAAACCATAGCTGTATTGGGTTGTGGCTGGTTCTGATCCATTCATTGAAAAGCCTTCTTTAAATTTCAGCTTCTTGCCAAACAGTCACAATGTTTTCATTGCCATATTTTTCTTAGTGCACTAATGTTATTGCATAAAACCATCATTACTAGGACTTATTATAACAAAGAACATACTGAGTGAGAAAATGTTTTAGGTCAAATTCCTTTGGGGAAAAGCAATGTTCTGCAGTTTTCATGCTACCTGGAGACAATAAATAGAGGCACATTTGAAACAGACTTACTGTGTTTCTCACAAGTTTGCTGATGAATAGAATTAAA